AAAAAAAAAAAAAGAAAGCAGGATATACAAACTCAAACTTTGACTACAACTAAAAATTCAACTATACAGAATGCAACAGAAAAAGTGGAACAATTAAATATTACGACAGAAGATTTAACTGCTCAACAAATTCAGATAATGGAAAATCCAGAAAAGAAATTGACAACATGGAAAAAGGAAAAGACTTTCTATATAAATCAGAAGAAACCTGAAGATCAAGAAGAACAGATGGAAGAGACACTTCAGGACAACACTTCAGGACAACTATGTCGAGATGGAAAAATAAAGAGATCTGCTAGACCTGCTAGCCCTTTCAAAAAAATGGTGACTGGATGGTTTTTTCAACGGCAAATAATATATATAACAATACAAGGAGATTTGTTTGACAACTCAAAAGCATGGACATGGAAGATGATTTGGCAAAGAAAGAAAGCTACAATAAGACTGAAGAAAAATGGGGTTTTGATTTACTTATGAGAAGTAAAATAGAATATATCCAAATAGATAAGAAGTGTATTTTGAATACAAGATATTACTATGAATGGAGATAAAGAAAACTTTGGTCACTTAAAATTTAGAAGTATGAATATTAATAGCTAAATTTGAATATTGATTTGCTCATAAAGGTCATGTAAAGGTGATTAAGATATATATATAAGCTAAAAACCTATTGATGAATGTAATAAAAATTATTAGTTTTAAATATGAGTTAGTAGATACAAAGAGGAGGAGAGAGGAAATACTAAGCATTGAAATAAAAGAAATTTTGGTTACTAGGTTTAAGATATTTGGAAACTATTAGAAAATAAGAATATTTTATTGTATTATTAATTCGTTGATATAGATGGTGAGAATTTAAATAAATAAGACATGTACCCTGAATACCGGATTTTGTGAGAAATTGTGATAAAGGGAATTGATAACATTTAAAACTTGGAAATGATAAATATTAAACGTTAATTTTAAATATTAATGGTAAATTAAAACTGGGAAAAATTTACTAGGACATTGTCTCAAGGATTGAATGTTAAAATGAGTAAGATATATATAAACTAGAAACTATTGATAAATATAAGAAAGTTATTTTTTATTTTGATTGATAGAATAAGAAGTGTATTAATTTAAATATGAGACAGTACATATTAAGGGAAAAGAGAGGAAATACTGTAATAGTGTGGGATTTATACTAATGGTATTTGTATGTAATTGAATTATGGTAACTCAATCGCCACGTTGTTTTTCAAAGATATAAATGTAATATTGGAAAATCAATAAAACTTTAAAAAAAATGAATTTTTTTCCCAAGAAAATTTCCACAGCATAAGTAACCAAAATAAACGTAAACAGAGAATAATACTTGAGTTTCTCTGCAACTCTAAAATTCAAAATTATTTGGTACTATGGGCAGATAATAATAGAAGAAACTGTTTAAGAGGTCTACAGAACCAAATAAAATTGATTCATCCCTCCATCTTGGCTAATTAGTTCAAATACACATGATGTAAATTTAATAAAGCTAGCAAATCATTTTGGAAGACATTTGAAGGTGGAAGATAGATCATTTTGCCAATGATGAATATTATAGAATTTATAATAGCAATTTTGAGATCAAATTTATTTATTTATTTATTTATTTATTTTTATTTATTATTTTTTAGATTTATATCCCGCCCTTCTCCTTGCGGACTCAGGGCGGCTAACAACCGGGTAAAAATACAAAAATATCACACTACAAATTTAAAAATTAATTAAAAGGGAAATATTAGTAATTTGGTCTAATTAAAATTATAATTAAAACCCCCTCTAAAAGTTTCCCCTAGGCCAGTCCCGCAAGCTGGAATAACCATGGGGAAGTAATGCCAATTTGCCACTTTAATTACTAGGGCAATTTTAGGTGGCATATAAAGAATAGAGATGAAAAATAATAGTATACAATACAAGAGTATAAAGCACCAGATACGTCAAGCCATGTCAGAGAAGAACAATATTAGAAAAACAAAAGTTAACAAGAATTTGATCTCTTCTTTAGGTACACATGGCTTTCTATATCCATGTCTATGTCTACTTCTAAGTTAAAAACATTGTTTAAAAGTTTTTTACTAAACTGTGAGCACCAAAAGAAGTAATGAAAATAAGCTAGTTATTCTTTGGAGTTCCAACATTGATTTTAGTATTTTGAAATGACAAATGTATTTTGTAATACAGTTTAACAGAAATGCAAAGGTTGCATTGCAGGATCATTAAACTGTTAAACTGTTATGCAATCCATCACATGCCTGGTCAGAATTAAGCTACACTGAACAAATTAGATTATAATCGTTTAAAGTTATAATCAGGAGTCGAAGTTTGTAAGCAGAAATTGGGAGCTCTATACAGTAGATAGAATGCTTTCTTTGGGTAAGAAATATAGGGGCTTTGATGGGCATTCATTAAGCTAGATTAGATAAGCATATAAATCATTTCTTCTTTTTTGTGTTAATTTACTATGTGCATACATTTACATAAGACAGTGCAAAATAGTATCTGTTCTTTTATGTGCTGTCAAAGGAAGCAGGTAGTCCTAGATTTAGAGCTGGTTACTTAGCAACTATTCAAAGTTAAAAGACCTCCCTGGGGATACTTATAACCTGGTTCTGAAGTTCCAACACTCTTTGAGGTCATGTGACCACATGTTGGGTACTGCACGACCGGCTACATTCACAAATGTTGCATCCCACTGTCACATGATCATGTGTTACTGCAGTTTTTACTTCTGGATTTTCACAAAACCAGCCCCTACTCAATGACTGTGGCAGTCACTTAATGACTCTTGCAAAAAGGGTTGTAAAATTGGTTTGGACATGTGGGTGATTCATTTTATGACCATCATGATTTAAAATCATAATGGGCAGGTTCCATTGCAGTCATAAGTTGAGGACTACCTGTAAGATAAAGGACTAACCATCCTTTATCTGCTATTTAAAATCTGCTTCCAGCATTAATTCTGTTAAAAAATAAACTTAAAATTAGCTTTACAAATGTGCATCTGACAAGTAAATTCTTGTTTATTCAAATTCATGCCAAATGTAATAAACTTAAATATGTCAAAGGACTTTCTATCCCTGACAAACTTGAAACTCTCCTTGCATTTTTTAAATCTAAAAATTAATGAAGACAGCTGACAACATGAAATTCTGGCTTATACCAGAGAGTATATTACATTATATATACATTTCTTTTGATCCTCATGCATATGTTTTATTAGATGCAAGCAACCAGGACAACTTCTTGACTGGGCAAGGCAATTCTTTTATTGTCAAACTCCTATTTACAAGAATCTTGCCAGATCAAATGTCTTCTCTTGGGAAATGGCAGATATAGTCTTAAAGCTTTGATCTCAGATTTCTCCTCCTCCAAATCAATTCCATCCTTGGAGTCTCTCTTTACTCCCCCTCTCTTTAGCCAGTGATTCCATCACAATATTATGGGGAAATATTATTATGTAGCTTCATTCTGTTCAATAAAACCAGTACCTGTTTTCATGAGCACTTATACAAATTGTTGCACTACCATGTTGCAGAATTAGCTTTCAAAAAGACTAATACATTTTTTAAAAGGTGAGCATCAAGCTCAGCCATTGTACAGGTTTCAATTTTTGGGTTGAAAGTTAGCCTCATTTAATTACTCATATTAATACTACTAGTGGCACTAGTTTTCTAAGAACAGAGTTGATGAATAATGAAACCTTGAATCAAGTCCTTTTATATTTCTACATCATTTGGATAGCTACTTCTTCTGTATGCACTGAAAGCCAAAATGTCATTACTCTGCAGGTTCAGTTCAGCAAAACTAACATTAATATTTAACCTTGTTACTCATTTTCCAGATGAGTACAACATCCTTTTTAATAAATCACAGAATTAACTATACTAAAAAAGTATTTACCGTGTATGTGTCTCATTAATATAGATGACATTACGCAGACCCAAAGAAGGGATATTAGTATTAAAAAGCTTGTCCTGAAAGAAAAATGCATAAATTAATTTATTACTAACAGCAATTCACAATAACTATAGCATTTTCCTGTATAATCTCTGTAAAGGGGAAGAATCTACACAAACACACACACACACACACACACATACCCATATAAATAATCTATAGCTCAAAGTTTGCCAAGGTTTAGTGTTCTCACATAAAATCTCAGCTATCTGCAAAACATATGCATATTTGTTAAAGTTGTACATCAGCAATTCTGGGCAGTCCACACAAAAAAATAAGTACAACAATAAAGAAAAATCTGTGCATTCTCACTTTGCTGAACAAATCACTGGGCCCTGCTTTACAGTCTTTCATTAATACAGAGGCATCAAATACTATTCTATTTCCACCAGGCAAAATCTGAAAGTAACCTATGCAAGGTAAGTACATAGCTACTGAGTTCTTAATTTAATTGCCTTCTGGCTATTTGATTACCATTACATGAAAAATAAATTTCAGTTTGTTACTAATATAATTCCACTTACCCAGCTTTGAGGAGTGCATACGTAACAACAGCGTCCCACAAATGGTCTATTCCTGCCCAGAAGAGTCTCTTTCCATTTTAAAGTGGCTGATCGGAAGACGGTAGGCCTAGAATTGCATTCTCCCTGGAAAATAATGAATGTATAAATATAGCCATAAAAACGGACAGCTTTGAATTTCTTTCACGTTGCTTTCTGTAAATGAACTAGCTAAAGTTAAGAACAATTGATTTATTTGTTCTGCTTAAAAAACAACCAAATTCAGTTACTGGAAGTAATTAAACACATTCATAGACTTACATACATGCAAATGTTTGCCTATAAGTATATAGATCAACCATACTGTCAAAATATTTTCCTCCCTTTGAGTTATGAAATCTGTATATATAATACTGATCATTCCAAGATGACAGTCCCCCAGAAAGTACTTATGATCCACCAACTGTATCCACCTGCAGCCACATGATTGTATTTTGGGTGCTTGGCAACCAGTTTGCATTCATGGCCATTTGCAGCATATTGTGATTAAGTGACTGTGATTTTTGGTATTTTTTGCAAGCATTTATTTCTGGTAAAAACATCCATTGGGTAAAATGGATGGTAAAATGGCAAAATAGATTCATTTAACAACCACCATGTTTGCTTAATGACAACAGTCATTTAATTACTGCAGCTTTCACTTAATGGCCACTCCAAAAAGGGTCACAAAATCGTGTGTGACCTACTTAATGACTGCCATGACTTATGACCATAATCCTGGGCATAATTACAGTCATAAGTTGGGGATTACCTGTACATTTCTGGAAATCTTGTAGGAATAAATCTGAAATAATATAATCTTGTACTATATATTTTAATATGAATCTGAACTTTTTCTATAGATGTATTATTTTGAATGAAAGTGGTGCTAGGTTATAGTATGGTATTATTTTTTATCAATTATATCCTGCCCTAAGAAATGTGTATAGAACTATCTAAATGTGTTACAGATAGTCCTTGGGTTACAACGGCAATTGGGACCAGGATTGCTGTTGCTAAGGGGATGTGGTCATAAAATGCAATACCACGTGGCCGCACTGCTTAGCCACTGCAGCCCCAGCTGTCCCGGTTGATATTGTAACCTCAAGATATAGGGGTCATTAAGGCAGAAGTGGCAGAAGTCCCAGGTAAGAAGATAGGGGTGCTCCAGGGCATACCATCGGAGTGAGGGAAGCCTAGAAAGGCTGGCGAAAGCTATAAGGTGGGGAACACCAAAGGAGAATTTTGTGAGGCCTAGCACAGGTTGTGCACAAGCACAGAAAGTTGCAGAGCTGGATAGTGAAGTGAGCTCCAAGTGCAGGAAGACTGTAAGGAGATGATACAGAAGGGTGAGAGTGCCAGGAGCCTGAAGGGACTTACTAGAGAAACTTGTGATCGTCTCTGCTGAAACTTGTGGAAAGTCAACTGGGAAAATCAGAAATACCAATCATGTGACTGTAGGGTGCTGCAACCATCATGTGAACTGTTTGCCAAGCATCTGAATCACAATCATGGGGCTACAGGTGTGCTGAAGTGGTCAGAACTTTGAGGACCAGTCACAAGTATCACTTGTTCAGCACTGTGGCAATTTTGAATAATCTCCTAACAAATGGTTGGTAAGCAAAGACTATCTGAACATTCTTAATTTTTTTTCAAGAGTAATCTTATCTTACTTTTTCACCTTTCAATAGGACACTAGCGTTTTATCTTAAGAAACCTGGGAACACTGAACTAGCATGCATTTTGCTTACCCATTCTTCACTGGAATGTTTACATCTTGTGACAGTGCATTCTGCTGAAGATGACAAGTAGGAAACATCTATTGTTCCAAGTGACAAAGCCGTATCCTCCATGATCTATAACATAAATTCAGGCTCATGAGCTAAAAGAGGAAAATAATTTCAGCATTAAAGAATTAAGCGTATTAGTAAATAACCTAATTCACCTATCCTAAATGTCTTATTAAAGCTGAAATCCTTGGCACATTCATGGACTTTACTTCCAAAATAAGAAAGTCATTCACAACGACAATTGGCAATTAAAAAGATACGACTACATAACTATACAGTATAGTACAGGGGTAGGCAACCTTGGCTCTTTTATGACTCGTGGACTTCAACTCCCAGAATTCCTGAGTCAGCTATGCTGGCTCAGGAATTCTGGGAGTTGAAGTCCACGAGTCATAAAAGAGCCAAGGTTGCCTACCCCTGGTATAGTATATCACTATAACTTGCTTTCTTTTAGTTCTCTGTTCAGGATACTGTAACTCATTCCAGACAAGTTTGTAATTATACTTCAAACTTATCTACTGGTTGCTCATAATTACCAAAATTGGTTATGATCAGAAGAAATTAAATTTGTGCTCCATTCATACACAGAAAGTAAATGCATGCTTAATTATTAGAAGATAAGAACGGGAGGAATTTAAACTAGTTTCTTTCTAATCTAATTATACTTCTCTGTTGCAGAAGCTCCTAGGCAAATAAAGTTGAAGTCAGTCAGGCTTCAGAAAGCAGGAATGCAGAGTACATTTTCAAACCATGCAAGGATAAAATGTCTCGTTAGCAGTTCACTGTGTTTCACACACCCAAATTATTTCAGCACATTGTGTGAGTCTACAATCAGAAGGAGTATGGTAGCACCTTTTTTGACTACCAAATTTTTTGAAAGACAAAAGCTTTCAAGAGCAGCTCTCTTTATAAGATGCATAGAATAGCAAGACTGATGTAAGACTTAAATTGGAATAGACCGTAGGAAGGGTGAGAAAGAAGAGAAGGCAGATTAATTATATAGAGGCAGATGATATGTGACAAATTACAACTGCTAGGCGATCAAACCGGTCAGTCCTAGAGGATATCAACCCTGACTGCTCTTTAGAAGGCCAGATCCTGAATTTGAAACTCAAGTACTTTGGCCACCTAATGAGAAGGAAGGACTCACTGGAGAAGAGCCTAATGCTGGGAAAGATTGAGGGCAATAGAAGAAGGGGACGACAGAGAATGAGGTGGCTGGACGGAGTCACTGAAGCAGTAGGCGTGAGCTTAAATGGACTCCAGAAGATGGTAGAGGACAGGAAGGCCTGGAGGAACGTTGTCCATGGGGTCGCGCTGTGTCGGACACGACTTCACAACTAACAACAACAACAAGTCCTTAATCAATTAACAGCACTGTGTTGAAAAATCGTTGTAAGATTGAAATTTTTGAGAGTGTATAGGCAAGTAAATTACTGTAGTTAGTCATGGGTTAGTACACTATACAGTCAGTAAATCAAATATGGGGAAAATACAGGTTTCTTTCACCCTGCTAACCATAAGTATTTTTATTGTTAAAAACAAATGAACCCCTCCTCTATATTATACATACATAAAAATACAAAGACATAAATAAATATATTTGTTCAATGTGGGAAAGCTCAATAACATGCATTTACCCAAGATACAATCAGAACTTTCTTCAGGGACCCAGGAAATTATAGAGGACAGTTTTCAGCAGAGAATGATTTTGTTCCTTGCCATTCTAATTATAGTGGATATACTATTATAACTGAAAGCAACTCCAAAATACAAAAATACAAACCCAAGGACTTTAAAGCCTCATGAATGAGAGGTATTTTAAAAGAAGTGATGAATCTTGGCTGCTCTTCAAAAAACTTTAAGCATAACTTCCTAAGAAAGCCAATGTGATATTATGATCAGATGATGGACTAAGAATGGATGCATTCTTGATATTGTATAGCTTGGGACTGATGCAGAAGAAAGCCCTCTCCTGTTTGTCTAATATAGAGATCTGCAAATCCCAAACTGTGAGGGTGTTTTTAACAAACTTACAGGGGCAGTATGAAATACTTATATTTGGACCAAACTATTGTATTAATGAATAAACGGTGAAGGGGTTTGGTCCTGGGTGCTGCAAAAACATTATGAGATATAAGGGCTCCATGAACTGAAAAACTTTGAGAATATTTGATATTTGATATAGACTGAAGAAAGCAGGAGTTCATATTTATTGTAAATCAAAGCATTCAAACAGGTTTCTAGCAGAAGACATAGTCTCTCAGATAATCATGTTGTACAGTAGAGCAGGGATCCCTAACCCCCAGTCCATGGACCAGTAACGGGCCACGGCATGCCAGCAACCGGGCTGCACAAACAAGCAAAGCCCCATCCGCGAGATGCAGGCAGCACACAAAACCACACACCTTCCGGTCTGCAGAAAAATCTCTCTCCATGGAACCAGTCCCTGGCGCCTAAAAGGTTGGAGATCTCTGCAGTAGAGTTTTGAAAACTAATATTATTACCACCTTAAATTTTGCTGAGAAAAATACCTAATGAAGGTATTTCAACACATTACATCAATTGGTGCTTTAAGACATTTTCAAAAGTAGTCCCACATAAATTTAAATTGTCAAGACAGGGTGTGACCAAAGTATGGACAACTGATACCAAATCCAATTGGCTAAAGAGAACCATAGCTGGCATACAAACATGTTCTTTCTCACCTGGGAATCTAGCAACAACTGAGAATCAAAGAACCCTCCCAGGCTGTAGATCTGTACTTTTCTGAGAAACTTCATCCAGAATAGGATAAACTTATGGTCTAGTTTCCTATTGAACAACACCATCCTTACTTTCTCTACAGCAAGTGTTACATTGTCACTTTTAGGACAAATCATAACTAACACATACCAGAATCTCTTGATGGTGAATTGACAAAGTCTAACTGCTATAGAATGTAAACTTGAATCGTAAATAAAATCTTATTTCGAACTGCTCCAGAAACTGGAGATAGGAAAATAGAAGAAGAAACAGATATAGAAACAAATATGGGAAAATTTAAGAGCATGATATTACTTCAGTACTTACACTGAAATCCCTAAACATTTTTATGTACATTATTGCCAAATTTGTAACTGAATGCTTCAATTATTTGGAGCATCCAAGTATTCTGGCAATGAAATATTATCATGCATGTGAAGTTCTACCAACTCAAACATATTCAATCCCATGCTCTTTAGATATTGTGGATTAAAATTTCCAAACCACCCAGCCAGCATATTCACTGTTTATCTGATAACATACATTCCATACATCAACAATCTAAGTACTGAAAGATAAACTAGAACAAAGTGACCATAAAAGCAATATAGCCTGTAAGACTGGATCTTTGGATAAACTTACCTGATACTTAATGTCACTGAATTAATTGGATTTATTTCCAATTCTATGAACATGAGACTGGACTGCAAATTGCTAAAGCTTCAATTGTTACAAATGCTAGAAGAAGAAATGGCATCTCCTTCAGAATTTGCTCAGATAATTTATTTGCAGTAGCATGCACAAGCAGTGCTAGGAAAGTATATAGCCACTTTAAATGTTCTTCTATAAATAACAGAACAACTACTGTATTAAACACTGGTATCAAATGTTGGGTGTCCCTATATAGCAGAAAGCTACTGCCAAAGAGATTTCGCTCAAACAAGGGAACATTAGCAATCTAAGCCAAATTGGCTGAATGACAGAAGGGACTTTCAGGCAGAGTTAGTTAAGTACACCAATGGAACACAAGTGAAAGACTGAAAGAAAAAAAGGGGGAAAAACAGCCTATCTACCAAGGAAAATGGGTATTTTTTCAGGGCCTACTTTGAATCGAATCCAGATTTATCAGCCAGATTGCCATAGTTAAGAGAACTTATACTAGCATGCTCCAAACAACAGATACAAACAACTACACGATCACTTTCCACCATGTAAGAACTTTCCTCCATGCAATGATGAACGTGGGCTCAGGCATAAATCTGAAAAATATTTTTTGTGGCACCTTGCTGTTTCTCTACATTCTTATTCACATCTTCACAAAATATTGCAAAAGAAAGGAGGGAGAGAGGGGGGGGGTTGTCAACCAGATTAGTCTATTATTTCACGCTATGTACATTTCCCTTGCTATCTCGTTCAAGCATGGGCCCAGAGCCAGATTCGGTATGCTATGTGCTCCTTTTTTTTTTTCAAAAATTAGTCCCTAAAATACTTTCCATTGTAATTAGTGCGGACACGGTTGGTCCCACGTTAATCTTACGGTCTATTTCTGTATTGGCCAGCCGTTTCAGCCAAGACTGCAGCAGCAAAAACACTGCTGGTTACCGACGGTGACCGCCTGCAACATATTTTTTGGGCTTCAAAAATCGTTCCCATGCAAACGTTTCACAAGCAGCCCAGTTTTTCCAGTGGTGCCAATTCCGCCCCCCGCCCCCCCGAAATTACCTTCTTTTTTCCAGCGACGATACTAGCGGAGGATCAGTCTCTCGGGATAGAGGTTTTTAAGATCTCCTTTCGAAATATCCAGCAGAAATCTGTCCACGCGCCGGATCCTCTATCCCTTGACCTTCCGATCTCCGACCCTTTGGGAAACAAGCGGACGCTACATCGACACGAGCTGCAACCCTGAACGAGACCTTGCCGGCAAGCTAGCGGGCAGGCTGACTCGTTCACGCCGCCCCAACGAGGAGGGCAGATGCTGACGCGATTTCCTGAGCGCCAGGCGCCAGCGAGCAGGGAAGAGGCCCGGCCGGGCTCGCGTCAGCGGCCGCTGGAGCGCCTCAGCGTGCTGCGGAAGGTGCTCCGACACCGCGGAGCTGGTGTCTTCCAGGTGTTCTTGGGTTGCCATCAGCCTTGGCCGGTGAAGTCAGACGGGTAGAGGAGATTGGGAGATGAGCGCGACTTCGGGGGAAGCTCGGGGATCGTCCAATCTTTCCGCTGCGCAGAGCTAGGTTCAGTAGGCTGCCGATTTTCTTAGGTGGGAAAAGGGTGGCAATTGGAGACCTTGCTTTACTCCAGACACAGGCAGTCTCCGAATAGTC